GCAAGAATTTAAAGAAAGAAGCACATGAGCTGTGCATTTGGAAACATATCAGATTGTACCATTAAGGATTCAAAGTTAAATTGCACAAATATTTTCAAACTGTTTCTGACAAAGCTGTAGGCAAAGGGAGCACAGGCAGGAAGGATAAAGAAGAAAAAGCAGGTTTGATGTCTACCCACTGATAGTTGTTATACAGTCACTAGCACATATCTTCCCTTCCAATAAATATTTGTTATCTGGACACTGACACAATGAGTTTAAGAGCAAACAGGATACCTAATTTTTATTTTCTGCAAACAACAATCTATTTTAAAATAATCTTGTGTTTCTCACTGTATTTTACATTAACAGTAATTTGATCATGTTTATGTAGCACAAATATGCAATAAAATTAGTATGACAAAAAAAACATAGTAGAAATGTGGTTATTTTTAACTGAAAAAAATGAAATCATGAAAACACAAAGAGCCATTCAGCTATAAATTGTGAAGCTTTTGTATGAAATACATTTAATGGCAATTTTACTGCTATAGAAAACGATTGCAGTTTCAACTGCATTGTGGTCTGAGGATTAATATATAATAGGCATATGCAGATAATGGTTTAATGGGCTTTCCTCCAAGCTATGAGATGACCTAAGTGCATGCTGGCCAATTTGCCAGTCTCTACATTTCTTCAGTAATAAACCAGTGATTGATAATGATATGACAGGTTATTGAGTGATTTCTTTGTCATCAAGAAAACTTTCTACCCACTTCTCCCCGTAACATGGACGGGGGCTTGGTTCAGACAAGGCATAGAGTGGAGTTTTGACAGAGCAGTTTATTTATTGAATTTATATGCTGCCCATCTCACTCCAAGAAGTGACTCTGATCAGTATTTGTCTCTACTTTGGTTCCTTAACCATTTACAGCTCTTAATTCTTTGCCATACTTGATGCTTTTAGTCTGAGCATTTCTGCTGGGTGCATTTTTCACTTCCATTGTTGAAATCTTCTCAGACTTTGTTTGGCTTTTCTTTTGGAGTTGTCTTTACTTGTGTAGTAGTAGTAGTAGTAGTAGTAGTAGTAGTAAAATAAAAATTGGAAGGGATCTTGGAAGTTATCTAGTCCAACCCCTGCTCAGGCAGGAAACCCTATACCATTTCAGACAAATGGCTATCCAGTCTCTTCTTAAAAACTTCTAGTATTGTAGCATTCACCACTTCTGGAGGCAGGTTGTTCCACAGTTTAATTGTTCTAAGGAAGTTTCTCCTTAGTTCTAGGTTGCTTCTCTCCTTGATTAGTTTCCATCTGTTGCTTCTTTCTTGCCTTCAGGCACTTTGGAGAATAGCTTGACTCCCTCTTCTTTGTGGCAACCCCTGAGATATTGGAACACTGCTATCATGTCACCCCTAGTCCTTCTTTTCATTAAACTCAAGATATCCAATTCCAGCAACCGTTCCTTATATATTTTAGCTTCAGGTCCCCTAATCATCTTTGTTACTCTTCTTTGTACTTGTTCTTTGCTTGCAATCTTTCTTGCTCTGTCCATTTTGAAGGCATGTCGGCTGCTCACAAAGGGGGTTGGCAGATATGACAATCTGCTGCTGAGCAGTCATTTCAGCACGCTGCATGGGGGATCTGTTGCACTCTCCCAGATTCCTTGTATACAGATTTGGGAGGGGAAAATCTAGCACAAACTGCCATCATGCTTGTCGTGCAAAGGAAGGGAAAGTATCACTTCAGAGATCACATGGAGAGCAACACTGATTTAAATTGGTGTATCAAAGGAGAACCTGGGAGACAGCCACAATCCATTGATGACAGCTGGAGGAAAGGGCCCCAACAGTCAGTAGGAGCTGGAGAGATTCCACCCATTGGCAATAGTCAGCTCAGTTGCCACCAAAGTACTATATATTAAGTTTCTGTTGGGAGAAAAAGGAATGCACATCTGTGAATTATCTGCACATTGGATAAGATAACAAAAGTTAGCTGGCTGGGTATGAGAGGAAGAGATGGACATATGGACATGTCCCTTTTAAAAATAATTTTGTTATACAAGAAAAATTCATAGAACTATAAAATAGATACATTAAATATAGATACAAACAAAATATAAAGTGCAAAAAGAAAAAAGAAGTACAATCAACATAAAGAATTTATCACTATCTTTTAAAATAAAATAAAAGATCTCTTCATTCCATACTGTCCCCCAGTTTCTATAAACCCATTTCTGAAACCCATCCCCCCCTATTAAGGCAAAGTCCATTATGTATTAAGTATTACGAATTATATATATTACACTTATGGATATGTCCTTGAAGAAAGGCTAGCAAAGTATCCTCAAGCCAGTTAGGGGGATATTTACTTGCATATAGCAATCCCTAAGTGAACAAATACTGGCCAATTGCTTTAGCCTGAACTAAAAAGGTGATTGTGTGATTGTCCTATCCTATCCTATCCTATCCTATCCTATCCTATCCTATCCTATCCTATCCTATCCTATCATTGTTTTTTTCTGGGAGGGCTCATTTGGTAAGATATCAGTAAAATCAAGCATCTCTGGATTTAGTGGATGTGAGTTTACATTTCTGTTGGAGACATTATAGCAAAAGAGTTTTTTGCTGCCATAGCAGGAGTCCTCCAGGACAGGCTCTAGATTTCTGTTGCACTTCTTACCATAAAAACAGTCCCCATACTGCTTCCTATAATCTCTCAGCAGCCTTATTACATACTCAGAACAAAGAAAAATAGCTGGATATAATAGGACTTTTAAGTAAATCTGTTTTGGAATGTTGTGAAACAATGTTTGTGGGCTACAAACATTACCTGCCTAATAGATACTGCATGTGCACAGATACATTTCCAAGTACTTTCATATATGAGTTCAAAAGGGAAACAGATGGAATACAATTTATAACAACACTAATTGCTGAGGATGCTGCTTTCCTTCCAGCAGTGTTGTGCTAGGGTATTTAAAAGCTAAACAGCAGAATGTAGTTGGAAAGACCAATGGCTTCTCTTGTGAATGTGCCCTGGGTTCTTATTATACATTCCAAGATTGTCCAAGCTGTAGCCAGAAGTCACATGTGTAACACCCCTCCCCCCGCAAAAAAAACTTGGATCCAGCCTCATAGCATCTCCAAATTGTAAATTTTAAATTAAAGACAAAATAGAAACATTATTAAATACATATAATTATATTAAATTGGCTCCATCCCCCTTGTGGACTGTACCTGCCAGCAGACTATTCAAAGGTGGTATTAATTGCATTTTATGTAAAAAAGGCACAAATAATCTTTTATTCCTGCATTTCATCCCCTTTTCATTTACACACACACACACACACACACACAGCCAACTGAGGACAACACAACACATCTAATAAGATGTGCTGTAATTCATTATGTTACAGAAAAATTGTAAGGTTGTACAAAAGATTTTTATTTTAACTGAGGAGTATTAGAAGTGATAAAGTAGTGCCATCTAATGGAATATTCAGTGCATTTAGTATATACTTTGAAAGGTTCAATTATTTTTCAAATGGTCAAGTTTGAAAGAGATCATGTTTGATTATCTCAGCTGCAAGATATTTAAAATCAAAGTTGCTGCATTAAAATTTTACTAGTTTGCCTTTGTAAATGTCACTTTGCAATCACTTTGATTTTCTAGGATATTTGTAGTTATGTGCACTCACAGACATTTAATTTAATATGATCATTCTATAATCCCCAGTACAATTAATAAAATGATGAATGAGAATGGCAACCATCCTATATATCAAAGACCAGTATAAAATTAACTGTTATTAAAATTTCTTTTAATATTGTATTTTTTTAAAAAAAATCTGACATTTTACTGATCCAGTCTATTCCTGCAGTCAGTAAAGAGAGGCTATTTCAAAACAATGAAGTTATAGCATGCAGAGCAAAGATTCAGATATGAAGCTCAATGGCAAGAATGAAATCGGATTTTGATTCTTCTTTACATATTCTTCATTCCTAAATAGAAACATGAATGCATCAGCAGCCTGACTAAGGAACTGAAAAGACATTGCAACTCAAAATAAGTTTTGGTCTAAATAAATATGAAGATATATATGAATATCATATCTCATAACATATCATATGAGAATATCATATCTCAATATATCTATACCACTTTCTTTCTAAGTTAAATCTGTCCATCTAGTCTAGTCCCCAGTCCACAAGGAGTCAGCCAGTGAAAGCTGCCTTCCTTATACAGGTAAGGAAGAGCAAGAAGCAGAATGACCAGTTAGGTTTTACAGTGGCAATAATGACTGAGCCTCAGAGGGGCCATGTTGCCAATTCACTGCAATCTGGTGTGGAAATTATGATGTGAGCTTAAGGAACAGATGGGAACAGCATGGGAGACAAGCAGCTTAGGCTACAGTGCAAAATTACTCAGAGTCTGAGAAAATGGCCATATATATTGTGAAAATTAAACATATCTCCATTAAATTGAGATTTTTCTCTTTGAAAGTTTGAAAGAAGCCCTCCATGCAAATATTTTTGCTCAACCCATTTAAATAAAGAATGACTTGTAATTAAACCTACAAATAAAGACCTCCTTTGGCCCATTCCACTTCTGCAACATTAGAATCCACATTGTGTTCTAGAGGAATAACACCACTCTGCAGTTTTCCAGAATATTGAGTTACTTATAAGTTAATAAAGACAGGATAAAATTCCAACAAGGAAACAAACAAACTCTACTACCAGAATCCATTTCATGGAAATCTCCAAATACCCTTGCTCTCTGATGTAAAATCTTTATCTCCTTCCTAAAAAGTGACCATTTATGCTGTTTATTTATAGCTGTTATTTGTTTAAACATTTTGCTAGCAATTCTTGATTATAATCTCCCCCATAGTTTATAATATTGATACAGTATTGGTTTGCTGCTAGTTCACCGCTATTGGTTTCTATGTTGTGAAAAATGATATTTTCTTATGGAATATTATATTTATGGACTTTATTTTATGGAACTTTGGAGCTTTGCTCCAAGTGTAGATGAAAAAGATAAATACTGTAAGGTTTATTTTTGAATACACGTATAAAGGATTAGACTTAAGGTTAGCCTTTACAATCCAATCTTAGTTTATGAAAGAGAGCAAACTAATTTTTCTGCCGTGTAACCTTTAGAGGGCAAATGATTGGGAAATTCAAGAAATTGAAATACGGAAATGAAAGCAACGATAGGCTGTTTGAAATAAGAAACCTGGTTCCCGACAGGCACCTTAGGATGCTTTTCGGAAGGCAGACCACCATCAAAGCATCAGGTTAAGAGAGGGGCGGGGCGCGGAGAGCCAATCCGAACGATCTCTACCTGTTTCTCGCGCTGCCCTGAACCGCCGCTAATTGTGGTCGCCTAGCAACTGCAGAAGCAACCGTTGCGCGGCGCGTCCAGCACGTAGCCACAGGAGCCAATCGAAAACTGGACGGTGAGATTTGGGCGGAGCCGCGAAGCCAGGCCAATCAGCTGCAGGCGCGGCGCGTTTTAAACAGCTTCCGTGGCGAAACGGCGTGTTTACTGTTTAAGGGTCTGTCGAATATCGGAGGAGGCGAGGATGCCGAGCCGCCCCGAGGATTACGAAGTACTCCTCACCATCGGTGCCGGTTCATACGGCAGATGCCAGAAGGTGCGGCGGAGGGCGGACGGCAAGGTGAGCGGAGATACCCTCGGGCAACGGTTCCCTGGCACATGGCGTTGCTTGCCCGCACGCCGGGTGCACCTAAGCTCCGCGGCGCCTCTTCCGCCCCTCCTGCGCGGGGAAGGTCTTCGTAAGCCGTTGCACGGCGCACGGATCCCATGTCCCTTATCCCTGAAGCCTGGAGACTTCTTGAGAGGCGGGCGTCGGGCGCTGCGCTTGTGGTTACCTTAAGTACGGTGCAGTTGCAGAACTGCACGATATGCGGAACTACGGTATAAGTTATCAGTTCACACAGTATTCTAGGCTAAAATGTAATTGGCTAGTTTGTGATTCAATGTATTACACCAGCAGCCAGTTGAGGAGAGGTTGAGACAGCCAGAAACGCTACCTCGCTAGCTAGTCCGCAGGTGGTTCTAGTTGCTCACCTGGAAGCCTTACAACTCGTAAAGTGAAACAGTTTTGAAGTTGGCCTTGCACAAAGAGAACAACTCCCAAAATTTTTCTGGAAGGTGAATTTGGTTTATTTTTGAATTAACAATATGGTGATGTATAGGTTGGTGGGTTTTTTAATCACACACATTAAATCAACATGAATTCTGGGCTGTAATGCTTTTGGCCTGGGATACATATTCTGAAGTGCTAAAGCCACATGCACTTCCAGAAGCTATCCTTAAATGTACCCATAGAGTTCCTTTGATAATTACAATTAAATTGGATTTTTTGATATTTTAATAGGCCAGGATATGTGTGCTAAGAAAATATTTCCCGTATTAGTCTAGCCATGGTCATATTTAAAAATTAAGATTTTACTGCTACACGGCATACATGTTTTATATAATAGAAATATGCTCGTGTGACTAGCAAGGTTTGCCTTAGTAATTCTGCAATAAACACATTAAAATAAAATAAATCTGATGGCCTTCCAGAAGACATTTAAAATATTTACAATCTAGATGTACATCTTTAATGTTGTACACTCCTGGAGTGTGAGTTGGGCAGCCATATAAATCTATTTAGTAAATCTATTTAGTGCATCTATTTCAATAGACAACCAATGCCCTGTTGTATTATGGTTTTGGAGATAATTACCTAAGCAGAGAAACAGTGGCCAAAGGCAGATAAAGCAGTGGGAGCAGGAATGATTTCTGATTTCCTGCTGGCTTTTCCATTGAGTATCCTAGTGGGAACTTGGCAGGGAGCATTAGAAATCAAAGATGTGATCGTAGCAGTAGCCACTAGCATCGAGGCAGCCACAACTTCCCCAAATGTCATTTTTTTGGGAGTCATGGGGTCTGGATTTTGAATGCATTCTTTAAATTAGCCTATTTGAGGTACTTTAGTTCAAAAATTGTTACCTTAGGAACACTGTTTTGCCCACTTAAAGGTAATGACAAGAGTTTAAACAGTATAAAGATGCTGTCAAGAAGTCATTGCTATGTGAGGATTTTTATGGAATGTTAGTTATTCTGTATTTGGATGGTTTCGGTTATATATAAGGCACTAAATCTGGTGAAATCAACAATACAGAAATAAATCTTATGATCATGTTTTAAAAGGTGATCCATTGTACCCCTTACCCACCTGATGCTCTTAGGAATAGGATGGCTTTTACAACCTTCCTAAAAGTTAATAATGTAGTTGTGGGTATTATGCACCTGTTTACTTAAAAGCTTTGTGAATTTTCACCCAAATAGTTTTTTAGTGATCTCCCCTTCCAGTTGTTCAATGTAATATTTGAGGATAGATCTGTTAAGGCAGACATGTCAAACACAAGGCCCGGGGGCCGGATGCGGCCCAAAAAGTGGTTTCATGTGGCCCACGAAGCCATCCTGGAAACAATGAGGGAATGGCCCCTGCTGCCTTGGCTCTGGCCCAGGCCAGCCGGGAGCCAATGTACAATTTTATGGTGGCCATCTTGGCACGTGCCCCAGTGGACCATGCCTTGGCACTTGCCCTGGACCCACCCCCTTCTGCCAGAGACCCTCAGATCTGTCCCACTCCTGCCTAGGCCCCCCATAGGCACCCTTGATGCGAATGATGTAGAACTGGCCATGCCCACCCAGTAGGCCACACCCACTCCATCCACGCCCACCCAGTAGGCTGCACCCACTCTGGCCACATCCGCCCGCCCCCCTGCCCCAGGGCAACCGCAATGCTGATGCGGCTGTCAGTGAAATTGAGTTTGACATCCCTGTGTGAAGATCTCTTTGTTCATTGACAGAGACACGTGCTACAGCTTTGTTTTGCTCACGCTCCTATACAGCTGTTACACCCGGCACCAACAAAGCACCAAACACCTTCCTTTGCACCGCACGGCACTTCTTGGGTTTTTCCCAACCTTTTTTACTTCCGACTTCCTTATACCTTGGCCTACTGCAGCTGATAACTCAGCCTAGCAGGCCAGATAATCCAATAACTCCAACAGTGTCTGCTTGGTGAGTGAAACTGAGCAGACTGAAAACCACAAAAATGTATTGGTTCTTGGGGTTATCCTAAGTTGTTCAGAAAGCATGTGTTTTGGGGAGTATAATTTAAGAAATGTTGGTGTGAAATCTCACTCCTTTAGGATACTTTGTTTTTACTTGGATGTTTGTGGCACAAACAGGCTTAGGATATTTGTGACTAGCTTGGGTAATTATATGTTTTTAAACCCTTACTAAGGTCTATTGTTCTTCTTAATTACATAGTTTCAGTGGGATATAGTGGAAGGCCTTGCTATCTACTTCTCCTTGGATCATTATGGCACAAAAGTGTTTGTTATCCTTAATATTCCTGATTAGAACTGACAGAATTTACAACCTCCTACCAGAGGCAGTATATTCCTATATTTAACAAGACTCTTCATGAAGGAAAACCTGGATTGTACTCCTAAAATACCAATACCAAATATCTCTTGATATTATAAAAATGGAGGGTTAGGGTGTTCGTTGCAAGTGAGGCATGAGATACAGTTTCTTAATTCTTGGCTTAAATTTTTTTTTTTTAGTCCACCGGGCTTCATTTGAAATGACTATGCTATTTAATCATTTTTTTTAAAATATATATTTTCAGAGTTTAGAAATGGCTTATTTGTCTTCTTTCAGGTTTTAGTCTGGAAAGAGCTGGACTATGGATCTATGACAGAATCTGAAAAACAAATGCTAGTTTCTGAAGTGAACTTACTTCGTGAATTGAAACATCCAAATATTGTTCGTTATTATGATCGTATAATTGACAGGACAAATACAACACTTTATATTTTGATGGAATATTGTGAAGGTGGAGACTTGGCTACGTTGATTGCAAAATGTACAAAAGAAAGGCATGTAAAAACTCTGGATTATTTGGAATGTTATGTTGGTTCTAGAATGTATGTTGGAATTCATCATTTAGAGCCCTTCTGCATACCAAACGTCTTTCTAACCCTTCTTATTGTAGCATATATACAGGTAGTCCTTGACTTACAACCACAATTGAGCCCAAAATTTGTGTTGCTAAGTGAGACATTTAAGTGATTTTGCCCCATTTAATGACCTTTCCTGACACAGTTGTTAAATGAATCGCTGCAGTTGTTAAGTTGGTAACACGGTTGTAAAGTGAATCTGGGCTCCCCATTGACGTTGCTTGTCAGAAGGTAATATGACCTTGGGACATTGCAACCATCATAAATATGAGTCAGTTGCCAAGCAGCTGAATTTTGATCACATGACCACAGGCATGCTGCAATGGTTGTAGCATAGATTATTTTTTTGGGTGCCGTTGTAACTTTGAATGATCATTAAATGAACTGTTGTAAATCAAGGACTACCTTACTTAAGACTGAGTTATATTGTTTACTGATATCTTCCTTGTATCTTTTTTTCACAACTCTTCTGTGGTTTATACTAACCAAAAATAAATAGCTAATTAAAATTATTTAACTATAAGCAGGGTTGAATTCCTGTGCAGCCCCCTTTCTCCAATTGCTATTAGAAAGCAACTCTGTGAGACTAAAATTAAGTCCATGGAAAAATGAGATATAAAAAGATTCCACTTAGAACAGGGGTCCCCACCCCCCACCCCCCAGTCTGTGACCCAATACTGGCCTGTGGCCTGTTTGGAACCGTGGCATGGAAGTGGTGGGTGAACACGTGTGTGTGCTCAGCTCAATTTATGCAAGGGGCAGGTATGCTCCCCTGCTGCTTGCGCAAATGGAGCTGCATGCATTTGCTTGCCCGCCACTCATGCAGAACCATCCCTTCTCTCTCCCCCCACTGGTCTGCAAAGCCGGAAAGATTGGCAACCTAGAAGATTCTGATCACACCACAATATTGTTTGAATGGAGAAGGCCTAATTTTATACCACACAAAAAAAAGACTCATCTGGGAGTGCTCTAATTTATTTAAATTATGCATATTGAGAGTAATCAACCACTATGAAATTTCAAGAGTTTGAGACAACTTTCATGACAGAATAGACATATTTTTAGTAGAGTCATTATTTTTAAATTCATGCATCTGTATTTGGTGTGATTATTTTTTATAATATGGCAGGATATGTTCATATTCAAATATTAATTCCCAAAACTTTTGGCTTATAAAATAATTTATAAGTTAAGCAATTATTTGTGTAGTTCTCTATTTGAAGTATTTTATTGAATTATTCGCTCCTACCTCCATATACTTTGGCTTAAATTTACACACAGGTTAATAGGATGCAAAACAAAACTTAAATACAAGTTTACACTTACAAAATTAATATATATATATATATATATATATATATATATATATATATATATATATATATATATATATAGACCAGCCAACAATGATAACGCTCTATTATGTGAGATGTCTTTCAGTGTTGTAAAGTAAAATATAAATGGAAATCCTTTTGACCTTGCATCTTTCCTTTAAATCTGAACTAGTGTAAGATAATGTTGAAAATCATCAGCATAATCTTCAAACAACAATCCCAAAAAAGGGGCAGTGAGGATATATATAATAGCGTATGGACAGAATAGATCAAATATTGTTAATAATCCAGAATTTTGTTTGCTGGGGCAAATGTCCTGATCCTCCAGCAAAGAGGACTCCAAGGAACCTTTTTGTGTGAAAGTTGAAAAAGGTAAAAATGGAGCTTCCCCAAACTTAGAGACAATTATTTTCTTTCCAAACTCTTCTGTTTAAAAGAAGATTCCAAACAGATAGTCAGATTTAGTTTGTACTCACATTTCTGAGAAAAACATTTCTACAGCTGAAAAAAGTCTGTTTTTTGAATTTGAGTGAGGGATGGGGATTTTTTTTTCTTTGCAAGTAGATTTGGATAATAAAATAGATTCTTGCCGTATCTTATCTTACATAAATCTTGAAAACATTTACCTCTTTGAAGTATTTACAAGAAATTAGGAAGAGGGAGATAGAATTCCCGTAGAACTGTTTAGAGAAGATTAGTAACAAGAATTTATTCTGTCCTTATTTGCTGCGAATGAAAAAAAAAGAAAATGAATGAATAATGCAAAATGTGAAAAAAATCAGAATTAGAAGTCAGAATACAAGAAAACAAGAAGTTAATCAAACCAATATTTACTAAAAATAATTTTCAATTACTATCATGTTCATGACTACAAAATGTTTATTGCTCTGATTTGTACGTATAAAAAAGGCTTGTAAACACCAGAAAATGGAGTCCTGTGAAACTATTCCTTATACTGTATTCAGAACGCAAATTCACTGCATTTCCTTGAGATTAAAGAGCCAGTTTTGCCCATTTCCAGTGTTTTGTTTTATATGAATTAGTATACATTTTACATTTCTTCTGGGAGCAATTAAAAGAGTATGTGGGAGGATTATATGCAAAATAATAAAATTTATTTTTTGGCTCAGGACTTAGCTATTCAGGTAAAAGTCTCTCAACTTTAAAGAGCCTCTAAAGCAGGGGTGTCAAACTGCTGGCCTACAGGCCAGATGCGTCATGGCAAAACCACACCCACCCCATTGCCGGCAATAGAAAAAAAGTCACGATACGTCGCGACACGTCATATGACGTTGTGATTTTGACACCCCTGCTCTAAAGTATCTTATTCTTAAATCACATTCTACAATATACAACTTTGAGAATTGATTTAATGAAAAAAGTTTAGTCTAAAAGTGCTTAAAACAACCTTTTCCTCTTTCAAAAGACATTATCTGGATGAAGACTTTGTTCTGCGAGTCCTTACTCAATTGACTTTGGCCCTGAAGGAGTGCCACAGGCGGAGTGATGGTGGTCACACTGTGCTTCACCGAGACTTGAAGCCAGCCAATATTTTCCTTGATGGAAAGAAAAATGTGAAGCTTGGTGACTTTGGCCTGGCTAGAATACTTCATCATGATACCAGTTTTGCAAAAACATTTGTTGGTACACCATATTATATGTCTCCAGTAAGTGTCCTTCAAACTTTTTCAGATTAGCTTTGTTCTACTTTAGCATGGTCCATTTATAGTAAATTGAAAGGTAATGAGTGACTGAAGAGAGTGTTTTCTTGAAATTTCAAATCTGCTTTTGTGCTAGTTACTAGTATAATCCAGGTCTAAGGTAAATATGGTGCTGGAGATGCTGCTCCTACGCTAATTATTAACAAACTGAACCAACACTATCTTAATGGAGCATGAAATGATATCTACATTGAGTCTGATTGTACTTGAAGCATTCCCACTGACATTCATAGGGCTTAAGTTAATCATTTACTAGGTTTTATTCTTATAGTTCTGCTTTCCTGATCTAGAATTCTCTCAGATGTATTGATAGCAAAATCTTTGAACTGATTTCTTAGCAAGCAAAGTCATACTGATAGATAATTCCAGAAGGTATAGGCTGGGTTTACTCAATATACAAAGCCATATTATTCTGGCTTGTTTCATATAGCATTATGGTTTATTCAAACTATGACTTAGGACAGTGGTTCTCAACCTTTTTAATGCCGTGACCCCCAACCGGTCGTAAGCCGAGGACTACTCAACCGGTCGTAAGTCGAGGACTACTCAACTGGTGCAGCACCGTTTGCAGAATGGGACTTTTGGCGGGCTCAGCAGGGCAGAGACAGCCTGGACAATTCCTATTGGCTTTTGAAAGCCAATAGAATTAGACTCTATTCAAGAGAGTCTATTCTATTGGCTTTCAAAAGCCAATAGAATAAAAGGGAGTAGCACAGCTAAGGAAAAGGGGGAAAAATGGCGGACTGTGTTGTTTGGCGACCCCGTGAAATGGTCGTTCGACCCCAAATGGGGTCCCGATCCACAGGTTGAGAACCACTGACTTAGCATGTTGTATGGACCTATCCACAAAACATATCTGGGCAGTGCTATTTTGGAAAAGACTAGGTTGGGAAGGCTATCCACTGTTAAGGATTGCTTACAGCTAAATCAGTGGTCCCCAACTTTTTTGGTTCTGCGGACTGGCAATGACGGCAGTTGGGGGGGGAAAGATGGTTTCACATGCACTCTCATCACTTGAGCAAATGGAGCTTTGTGCGCTTGCCCCTGCTTATGTGGCCCAGTTCCCAAAAGACCAGAGGTTGGGGAACCTTGAGCTAAACAGTTCTTCAAACTACACGCTACTAAGTAATTGATTTCCTAGAACAGTGTTCTCTCTAATTTACCATTTTATTGCCATGCAATTATTTATATTTTAATAACTTTTTATCTCATTTTAGGAGCAAATAAATCGCATGTCCTATAATGAAAAATCTGACATCTGGTCTCTAGGCTGTTTGCTATATGAGTTATGTGCATTGTTGTAAGTATAGTACTGCAAATGTTTTTAAGCATGTATTTGAGAATACTATTGAGCAGCTATTCAATATAGTTAGAACCTTCCTGTCAAGCAATAGAACTTAATATTTTACAACACAGTTGTTTAGAAATATTAGAAGTTTAATAGTGACCATTTTAAAATTGAAAAGCATGCCATTCACTTTTCCTAGACCTCCATTTACAGCTTTTAATCAGAAAGAGCTAGCAGAAAAGATAAGGGAAGGAAAGTTCAGACGAATTCCATATCGCTATTCGGAACAGCTGAATGAACTCATCACAAAAATGTTAAACCTGAAGGTAAGATAACTTCTGAAAAAAAAGGAAAGGAACTATATGTAGAAAATTTTCTAGACCTAATGTCCCCACTTCATTTAACTTTTAATTCCCCACTCATTTGCGCTATCTCACTAAAAGGTGCTCCTGTATTTGTGTGAGTGCTTAGTCTTTAATATAACTAAGTGCCAATAGTGAAATTAAATCCAGTTATTTATATATATGTATGTATGTATGTATGTATGTATGTGTATGTGTATATGTATGTATATGTATATGTATATATGTATGTATGTATGTATATGTTTCCTGCCCAAGCAGGGGGTTGGACTAGATGACCTCCAAGGTCCCTTCCAACTTTACTACTATTATTATTACGTCTACATCTGTGTAATCTTTAACATTTTAAAAAAGAACTTTTCTGTAAGCTAAATATGCATTTTTCTGATTTCAAGGATTATTGCCGGCCTTCAGTTGAAGAAATTCTACATAATCCGTTAATAGTTGATTTGGTATCTGAGGAGCAAGTGAAAATTTTGGAGAGGAAAGGGCGACGATCAGAACAGGATAAAGTAGAAAGACTTTCAGGAACACCAACCAATGAATTAAAACTGAAAGAACAACAGCTGCAAGAGAAAGAGAAAGCTATAAAGGAAAGGGAACACAGACTCGAACGTAAGTGAATTAATGTATATGGTATTACAGGGATTCCATCCCTGGCTGCTAAGAGTTTAATCATCACAACAAATGATTCTTTGTCAGGCCTAAAGTGAAAATAGAGATTTGAAGTAAAGGACAGAGCACAGTGACAATGAATAAAATAACATGGCATTTCAGAAAACTTATAATTTGACTTCTAGTGTTCTGAAGTATTCCACTGATATTTTCTGACTGCAATCAAATTCTAAACATCCACAATGTTAATGTGATTATTGTAGTTTAAGGATTCAAATGATGACTGAACTATTTAATAAGGTAATGCATTAAGTGTTGGATAACACAAGGTTGAAACCTAACTCTCCCATGAAAATTGAGTGATTTTGGGTCTTTCAATTCAAGGTACCTTAGAGCAGGGTTTTTCAACTGGTGGTATGCGTACTACTGGTGGTACGTGACCACCTGGCTGGTGGTACGTGGTGTCGCCTTCCTCCCCCCTGCAGTGTCACTTTCCTACCCCCGCACTCCGCTCCTTCCCAGCTCACTTGTTTGTGGAAAACATGCTGCTTGGCGGCAGCCTGCATGAACCCTACCGAACGTGCCCTGCAGGAGGGTGCACGAAGAGCGCAGGTGCAGAGTAAGGCCCCGCCCTCCCCAGGGACTCATTGTGCAGCAACCGGATTGACTTCTCGTGCACACAGGTCAGCAGGATCCCTATCACCCTTCCCCTCCCTCTTTTTACTTCACAACAAGCACTAGCCTGATAGGGGACAGAGCCGTCCACTCCCTTGGCAGGAAGGGGTTTGAGACTGCAGGGTTTGAGACCGCATCGCGGCCCTGAGCACCAACATCACAACCGCCCCTTCTTTCCCCCCTTCTCTCTCTCTCTCTGTTGTGGTCTCACTCTCTTCCATCTTCTTTTCCTTTCCCTCCCCCCGCAAGCTTGCGATACCCCTCACAGCCCTCATGTTGCCTCCCGGAGGATTCATCCCGCAGCAGCAGGTGGGAATCAAGGCCACGTTTGTTTTGCTGATGTGCGCCAGGTGAAGCCAACAACGCAGATGTGGAGGGAGAAATGCGCCCGCCTGACTCCCTCCCCCCTCTGTTTCGCAGTATTTAACCCTTCCCCATTTCCACAACGGCCGGCCTGCCCACCCGCCAGTCAGTTTCCCCTTCCGGGCTGGGAGAAGCGCATGCCGTTGCCTGTATCGCAGGCTTAAAGTCTGAAACAGCTGGGCTCTTGGCTGACTGATCACCTTTCTCCCCCCCCTCATCTTTTCTACAAACCGGGAATCATGGCTTAGTGGGGGCCTGGAGCGGGTCTCGGGGTGCCCGTGCACCCCTTGGATCAGACAAGTGAGCAATCGACTCTAGCCTTTGGGGAACAAAAGCCGGCCGGGGCTGATCTCTTCCTGCTAGGGAAGGCTGGAGAAGCCAGGAGAAAGTCAGTTATTAGAGGGGGGGGGGAGTCACTTCTTCATTTAAGGCAGTTTTGGAAAAGTAATTTTTGCTGGAAAGAAAAGCAGGATTTTTTTCCTTTTCTTGGATCGCCTTCTTTGCTTGGCCCTCTGTTGTCTGGGAGATGCACCTTTGCAGCAGGCTTCCCCTTCCGTTAATTATCGGAGGTTTGAAAGGCAAGCTTCTCCCGGAGCGTAAAAGTAGAGGGCCCAAATAGCGGGAGTGACGCAGCTCTCCCGACTCTCTGCTTCAGGCTGAAACAGTCTCAAAGGTGGAGACCGGAGATTACTTCGCCCAAAGGAAGGATGACTTGGTGGCGATGTGGGTTTGTCTCCCTTCCTTTGGAGGTGGGAGAAAAGTGTCGCTTCCTTCGGGCGGGTGCAAATGTAATTTAAGAATGGTAGCAATGCGGCCAGAAATGGGCATCTCTTGACAGCGCTGGGGAGAGCTATGGGAAGAACGATGTACACGGAGAGGATCGGGGAACCTGGCTTGAATGCTGGGTTCCGGTAGGGGAAAAATGACTGGGAGAAGTAGCTGGTTCATAACGTACGTGCCTGAAAATGGGGGGTGAACCGGCGATATACCCGCCCTGCCCTGTGCGCTCTCTTCTGCCTCTGCGAACGCACAGGCAGGGCCGTGATGTGTTGCTGCCTGCCAAAACCAGGCTGGGGTCTGGGTGGCGTAGCACAGGACAAAGGAACAAAGAAGAAAGGAAAGGAAGGAAGAAAGGGACAATGGGAGCTGCAGCGCTGCAGCCTTCCAGTCCTGTGAGCTTTGTTCGGCTGTGCTCCAGGCCTCACATTCATCAGCTGTTCAGCGGCCGAGAGACAGAGCCTTTCAGCTTCAGGCCGCTCCATCGGCCCTTGACTCCCTGCCTCGGCCTCCTGTCCAGAGTAGGAGCCACTCAGCTGTTGGTCGGGATGCCCACGGAGCCGACATCCACGCTGCCAGGGAGAACGGCGCTGGCTGCTGGTCTCCTTTGCCGCCCCGCACATCATCTTCGACCCCTCCCCCGCCCGTTCATGTTGAGCCGAAGGGCTTGACAGGGAGAGAGGGAGGGAAGGAGGAAGGGACAAAAGGAGGTGAAAGAAAGAAGGAAGGAAGGGGACAATGGGAGAGAGGGAGGGAAGGAGGAAGGGACAAAGGGAGATGAAGGGAAGGAAGGAAAGAAGGAAGGAAAGGACAATGGGAGAGGGGAGGGAAGTAGGAAGGGACAAAGAGGGAGATGAAGGAAAAGAAGGAAGGGACAATGGGAGAGAGGGAGGGAAGGAGGAAGGGACAAAGGGAGGTGAAGGAAAGGAAGGAAAGAAGGAAGGAAGGAAGGAAGGAAGGGACAATGGGAGGGAAGGAAGGCAGGCACCTGCCTCAGTCGCATCCCCCTCCACCACAGATTCCCCCCCACAGGAACCCTGCAATCTGAGTGATCAGCTGGCCGTGCCCCCCGGCCATTGATCACATGATCCTGGACACTGTGAACGTCATAAGTATGAATCAATTGCCAAGCATCCAAATGTAAATCACAAGACCCCGGGGATGCTGCAACAGTCATAAGTGTGAAAAATGGTCATAATTCGCTTGTAACTTCAAACAGTCACTAAGCGAATTGTAAGTCGAGGACTACCTGTACTTTCTCATTTTTTTCCTTTTTTTTTTTTTTGGTCAAGTTTTTGATACCTTGCTGGGCGAGTGGTGGTACTCGGATATTGTCTTATCCTAAAAGTGGTACAATGGGTGAAAAGGTTGAAAAGCCCTGCCTTAGAGGGTTGTTGTTTATAGAAGAATTAGAGGCTAGTGTGCTATGTATAGTGCCTTGAGCAAAGACAATATGTTTTTAACAAATAAGACAATGCAAAGCTTACAGCTGAACTTAAGATATTGCCTCTACCAGCATCTGGATTTCACAAAGTATTTAAATTGCATGCAGTTTTTTCATAGAATAAAGTTATTACAGATAGTCCTTGACTTATGATTGAGCCCAACATTTCTGTTGCCAAATGAAATAGTTGTTAAGTGAATTTTGCCCCATTTTACGACCTTACTTACCACAAATGTTAAATGAATCAATGCAGTTGTTAAGTGAATCTGACTTCCCCATTGACTTTGCTAGTTAGAAGGTTGCAAAAGGTGATCACATGACCCTGGAATATTGCAACCACCATAAATATGAGTGAAGTGTCTGAATTTTGATCACATGAGCACGGGGATGCTGCAATGTTTATAAGTGCGAAAAACAATTATGTCATTTTTTTCAGTGATGTAACTTTGAATAGTCACTAAATAAACTGTTGTAAGTTGAGGACTACCTGTGTTATTAGAATAAAGAAATGTTATATGCCTCTCTGTCAAATAAAATACCCAGTGGTGTTAATTGCAATCTTATAAACATACTTTTCTTTTTGTTCTAGAGCGAGAACGAGAATTGTGTATTCGGGAGAGACTAGCAGAGGACAAATTGTCTAGGTCTGTTCTTAAATGTTTGAAATGTTTTAGTTTGCTACAATAAGTTTTTTTTTTTAAAAAAAATGTTCTGGCATAGGTTTTTGTGACTGGATTTTTACTGGAAAAGTTAAGTGACCTCCTATGTGTGGAATTTAATTCCTGGTATCCTCCAGCCATTATGACCCTTTCTGAGAATTCTGGATATTAAAACATGTGTATTTGGATGGAACATACTGTAGGCTGGGAAAAGCTACAGAGCTAGATATTTGTGATACAACAATATTTGCTAGTCTTCAAAATGCTCTAGACCAGTGGTTCTCAACCTGTGGGTCGGGACCCCATTTGGGGTCGAACGGCCATTTCATAGGGGTCGCCAAACAAGGCTGTCCGCCATTTTTTCCCCCTTTTCTTTGGCCACGCCCCTGGCACCCAGTGATGTATAAGTGGTTGGGGGTCACCACAACATGGGGAACTGTATTATGGGGTCGCGGCATTAGAAAGGTTGAGAACCACTGCTCTAGACTAATGGGGGAATTAATTTGGAAATCATTTTAATATAAGCTTTGTTCTAATCAACTCCTTTTTGTAGGGCTGAGAATTTGATGAAGAATTACAACTTATTCAAGGACCATAGATTCTTCCTGCCAGCCACTTGCCCAGGTAGGAGAAGATACAGGAAGCTCCAACTGGATTACTAATCAGGGATACAGAAGCTCCTATCATTATCTTTCTTCTATCTCTATGGCTGGTATCAGCCTTCTGGAATTGTGATAATCCCAGAATATTATGAAATGCTTTACTGTTGAATTATGTAGAAAAGTGAGATCTCCTCCTATACTGAACACATGGCTCTCTGGTTCCTAAAAATCTGAAACTCTTAAGCATAGGAAACAATAAAAGATGCTTCAAGACTTGTGAAACCAAAAATTTGGGTTTCAGTAATGGCCTTTCACAAATCATGAAGTATGCCTGCTTCAGGATTGTAAGAAGCTTTCCGTATATGGAAAATTATGACTTCTACTAAACCTTTCAAAATTACTGCGAGTTGTGATTATTTTGTGAATTTGATCAGAAACAGACAAAATATATATTCATAAAAGAAACAACCTCTGTTTCTATTTTTATGTGAAAGTTGGCTGTTGCACCTGGCATATTGTTACTAAATTTGGGTGACATTGTGTAAATATAGCTATTCAATTCACCCTCTCTTGTATCTTATCAGATTGCTCTTTATTTTTATATGTTTTAGTCTTGACTTTCTTGAATTGTGAAATTAGTCCTTAATAAAATATATTTTACTACTTTGTAAATAAGAAAATGAGATTTCTGTAAGATAATGAAATATTTCAGTGGCGCTGATTTTAAAAATTAGGTCTTCATTCTTAAAGTATTAAGGTTTACTATTATTATGGATGCCACTATATTCCTGTGTAGCTGATTTCAAAATAATACACTTTGGCTGGTTTTCAGACTGGATTACAAGAAATTATTGCATTCTTGCAAATTCTTCTCTACTTGAAAAGGTGTTTCCCACAAAGTATTTGGGGCTGCCATTGAAAAACACCATTTTGACCATATACAGCTTCAAAGCTTGTCTAGCTAATGAAAACTTCTTTGGTTTTAAAATAGACCATTGTAAATAAAAGACTTAATTGTCCAGGAGCTAAACACATTTTATTTTTAAAAATTTGATGTAGAAACAGCTGTCTCTTAAATATCAATTGCCCTTAGTTCACTTGAACAGTAACAGAACATAGTGCTGTATTAGAACAATTTTACAAGGGGGACTATCCTGTTTTCACACTAAATGAAACTTAAACTAACAATAGCTAACATTAAGCAAGACACTTTAAATGTAATTAGTCTGCCCTCACCCCAGTAGACTTCAACAAATTTATTGCCAGAAAATAGAGTTACCCCAAAAGTGCTTATTCAATAATAGGAACAGTAATAAAGATAATTTAAACAATGATTCTGGGTGGCATACAAATAATGATAATGATGACTCCTGTCACTGAGCAATCATTTTTCTTGACAATGTAGCTCTTACATATGGTATCATTTAACTAATTCCATTGCAAAAAAAAATTATCACAGCCAAATACATACTGTAAATTATTTGTTTTTTTAAGAGGCAGGGTTTTCTGAATCTGCTGTTAGGTTTTGATTAAAACTTCAGATACATAATGTCTATATTAATTGATGTTACAAAAATTTTATGAGGGGGCTGTGCTGAATCATACTAATGACGTCTTTACAGTTTTATCTCTGTAGTTATCACCCAGATATTTTGAGAAGTCCACTGAGTGGTATATTCTCTCCTATACTTTTAGTAATTTATACATACCCAAGATAATGGGGCCTAATTTCTACTTTTTCTATGTGTTATACAAAGAAGTTCTTCCTTTTACCTGCACTGAGTGTAAACACTGTTTGAAGCAGAGCTGCAAATATACTCAACTATTCAACTATATAGTAAAGAAAAATCTAAAAAAAGAAAAGCCAACACTGCTTAATTTTGTATTTTGGATGATATGTATTCTGTAGGCTTAAGGATTTTGGTTGTTGTATTCTCTAATAACCCACACCTATAGCATTTTTTCACAACAACATTTATATTTTTCTATGCTGGCTGATGCAAGAGGCTGTGCTTATACGAACCTGAAGGCTCTTGACTAGGGACTAACAGATTGAAGAGAGGATCGTAAACATTCCCCATTTTACATACTTTTTCGAAATGAAAAATTTACAAGTGCAGTAAAATAGAGTGTAGCAAAATTATTTAAAAAATCCATGGATACCACTTCAATAAAATTTTACATTGCCATATTTATTATTTAGAATTATGGAAATGTTACTTAACATACAGTAAGCAAGTTTTATTCTACAGGGTAAACATCTGTTAGCAGACCTAATCATTGTCAGGGTGGAATCTGTGATGTCTATCTGTTGGATGGATACTTGGATACAGTTAAAATTAATTTTCTCCTTCTCCCTCAATGCCACTAAGATCTTTTCTTTAGAGCAGTAGGAGGAACAGTGCATTTGTTCAAACAAACATTTGTTTGTTAAATGTACCCCTAAATATTAAATAGAATTAAGCTTTAGTTCCTCTGTAATATGTTTAGGTTTTGGAGGAAAATAAAACAAACTTTCAGTTAAGAGTCATGATTTGTCCTGTCATTTTACTGATCTTTAGTTAAGTTACATCTGCACCCACAATTCCATTACATATGTTTTAAAGATGATTCCTTCACAGTTTCCTCTACTCAACTATTCTAAATATATACGTACATATCTTAAAGCCAATTGTATCTCCTCATGCTTTGGATTTCTGTAATTTTTAACGCAATAGGAGAGAAAAACTTCTTGCTTGGAATATATTAACCAACTATAGTATAATTATTGTGAATTAAACTTACGGTAGTTTCCATCCTGCTTGGTTCTTTGTCCTGGCCCTTAGTTCTAGTTCTGAGATAAGCACTCAGAGTACTTTCTTATGAAAAAAGTTATGTGGTCCAGAGCTGTCTGAAAGTAGAAGCACAGAAGATGCGTCTTCTGAGAGGCGTCGTGATGGCCTCATTTTTTAATATCTGGAACATTCTGATTAACAAGGCAGTTAAGTGTGGGCTGATTAGCATGACAAAACTGCATTCACAGAATAACTCTCAATGGTTAGTCATTGAACTGGAGTGGCATTTTGCAAATCACAATCTTGTATTCTTTATCTTTTTTTTCCTGATGACTTTGACGAAGAAATAGAAGTAATGCTAATCAAATCTGTATTGTTCATAGAACTGAGTAGCATATTAATACAATAGAAGACTAATAAAATTCAGTTTGATCTTGACAGATTAGAACAGGTAGGCAACCTTGGCTCTTTTATGACTTGTGGACTTCAACTTCATAGCTGGCTCAGGAATTCACGGATCATAAAAGAGCTAAGGTTGCCTACTCCTGGATTAGAAGAATAGATTGTGAATAACAGAATAAACTTAATGGAGACAAATACAACTGTTCTTATAAAAACATTAAATGTATATGTATAGAATATCAGCTAGTACAGGTGAAAAATATGGGAAGTAAATAAGAGCAGCAAAATTTGGATGCAAATACTTATTATACTTACATATAATAATTATTAGGGTGCATCAACAGAAACAGTGTCCAAATCATAGAAAAGCTGGTTTTGAGTATTATATCCAATTTTGGGTACTACATTTTAAGATGGAATCAAAGAATTGAAAAAATGTTCAAAGAACAACAAGGGTGTTCAGGTTAGGCATATCACATATGGGCTGCAAAAATCCCAAGGTCAGCCTGTTTACCGAAAATAGATCTGTAAGATTCTGTGATGACACTCTTAGCAGACCTTGAGAACCCAGGAAGTAGCTAGAGAGAGAAAGGAGGAAACAGCTGTTTCAAAAGCGATTTTGGAGGTGGAGTAGAAGTGTAAGAGAGCAACTTTACCTCAAGGTTAATATGAAGCTCGTGAGGGTAGCAGGCTCAGGAAATGCCATGTTGAGTTCTGAAAAATATTGCTAGCCTTCAATCATCCTCCACTTTCTACTGCTATTTCACTCATTTCTCCCTTCAGATGTGAACCAAATAATTTTCCAAGAAAAAAGATCAGTAATTTACTGCTCCTTCTCCTTATATATTCAATAAGTGATACCAGCAATAACAGGATCATTGGGAGCAAATGTGTCTAATAATAATAATAATAATAATAATAATAATAATAATAATAATAATAAAGTTGGAAGGAACCTTGGAGGTCATCTAGTCCAACCCCCTGCTCATGCAGGAAACTCTATACCATTTCAGACAAATGGCTGTCCAGTCTCTTAAAAACTTCCAGTGTTAGAGCATTCACGCTTCTGAAGGCAGGTTGTTCCACTGGTTAATTGTTCTAACTGTCAGGAAGTTTCTCCTTAGTTCTAGGTTGCTTCTCTCCTTGATTAGTTTCCATCCGTTGCTTCTTGTCCTGCCTTCAGGCGCTTTGGAGAATAGCTTGACTCCCTCTTCTTTGTGGCAACCCCTGAGATATTGGAACACTGCTATCATGTCCTCCCTCATCCTACTCTTCATTAAACTAGACGTACCCAATTCCAGCAACCGTTCCTTATATATTTTAGCCTCCAGTCCTCCAATCATCTTTGTTGCTCTTCTCTGTACTCTTTCTAGAGTCTCAACATCGTTTTTATATATCCAAAAGAGTTGGTGTGATTGTGTACACAGCCTGTTGGACTTAGATTAGCAAACCTAAGAAACTATAGGGCATAGTCATCTAGATCATCAAAAACTAGGTGTGTCTGGCTCCAATTTCCCATGGGGAATAAAAGGGCTATGGGTATGCACGTATTCTGTGTTGTCAAGAAAGAGAATAAAATATAGGCATGTCAATTAAAAATAACAGTTCATGATTTTTATTTTATTAAATTTATTTCAAAGTATAAAATATAAATGAAAATAGTGGGAAAATGGGGCAGGAAAATGGGAAACAAAAATCTAGGGTAAAGGAACTTCCAACTTGTGGGAATTACCAGTTCATGAATTTAAACACCTATTGTCAGAATAGGCTTCAGAGACTGGTATGGAATTTCAAGAATAAAATAATAATAGAAAATAATAATAAAAGAATAGCATATGATGAGCATAAGAATCTTATATGATCAAGGATGCTCATTGAAGGAGTTATGTGATTATTCTATGCAAAATAATTTTATATAATTCTACCAATTATGTTAGCTTTTTCAAGATGAATCTTTTTAGCATTGCTGGTTCTTGCCTATATATTGTTCTCTTTTTACAAAGGAGCAATAATGAAAATAAGAAAGTAAAGCTAAGAAACGAACATAAACAGAACTATGATACTTTTTGCTATTTGAATATTGTCTAGATATGTTTCAAATGACTTTCAGAGAAAAATCCTGTTCTTCCACCAAAAATAGATAGATAGATAGATAGATAGATAGATAGATAGATAGATAGATAGATAGGGCTGGAAGATTTCACCATGTCTTTAGAAACTATAAAAAAATTCCCTCAAAGTTTTTTTCTTCATAAATACAGTAAGCTATTCCTATTGGATTAAATGACATGGCCTACATTTAGTTAATATTGCTTGGTATTTCTGTTTGCCATATCATATGAATGAATTCTGTGATGTGATATTCTATGATGTTAGATATGAATTCTAATGTTTTGCAAATATTATAGCTAAAGAAAGTTATATGAATATTACAAAAGTATATTTTTGTTTATCTTTTTAAGAAGAGGAAGTGTTACCTGTCCCTACAGCAAGAAAAAAGAAAGTCCAGTTTGGTGATGAAAGTAAAGAAAATGTTCAAGGTGAGGAAAACCTGGAAAATTTTTCCCAATCAAGAGAAAAAAAATGTAACTTGAAGAAGCGTCTTTATGCTGCAAACCTGCGCGCTCAAGCCCTATGTGAACTGGAGAAACACTACCAGTTGAAAAGCCGTCAGCTACTTGGAATGCGTTGAAACAAGTCATTTGTGCCTGTACAGAATAGTGATATTTCTATGGTGTTTTAAAAGTATATTTTTGTAATGGTTGTGATGAAAAGGTCTGTGTAGATAGTTTTAGATGAAAAATGTTTTAAGCTAATGATTTGTGAGCATTTCTCTTCTTAGGAATTGTGCACTTTTATGCACTCAACGACACCAAGAAATTACTAATACTTTTAACAGAAAAAAAATGGTTTAGAAGATGTTTTAGGATTAAGATGAGAGTAATGTAACATTGCTACTATGTATCAAAAGAAAAGAGAATGCTAGGATGGGGTTTCTCCTTTCCAAATTTGCCTTTTCCATTTTTTAAAAGTATCTTCTTAAATTTTGATATTTTTGTATGTGTAAATGCCAGTTGGCTGTGTCTGTTTTATCCCTGTTAGGCTTTTCAGAGTTGGGATATTACTGAAAGCATGGTTTTAAATAATGATAAATTGCTTAAAAGGAGAAAATATGGTCATCAGAATTTAGAAATAGCAAACGTTTGGTTGGCAGAATTTTGCATATAAGCAGCTTGCTTTATTAAAGCCTGATCTGCTTGGAAAGTTTCATCATCAAGTCTATCTGTCAGATGTTATAGACTGTAACTCCTATAAGCCCCAAACAGATGACCAGTAATTGGGGATTTGAGAAGCTGTAGTCCCAAGCATTTCAAGATTATTTCTACATATATTAAATGCTGAAAAAAAGATCTGTTAAAGACATGTCAATGTGAGTTTTACATATGTAAAGGAATTATATCTCAAGCCATGTTTCCTTGGAAGTTAGAATGTGGATTTCTTAAGGAGTCAGGATGTACAAATGCTGCAACTTGGGATAGAAAGCATCAGTTAAATAGGCTTGTGTGTCTATTTTCATAGTGCGTAATAAATAATATGAAGGCATGATCTAAATGGTTTTGTTTTGTAAATCCAAAAGTCTGTGTGATGACCCAGGGCCCTGAATGGAGGCAAAGCAGTCGGCTGGCAAGAGCAACAGTCTTTTAATCACTGCCAATGTTCACCCAAAAGCTCCCACATATGCTGGCACGAGTTCAAACAATACAGCCAGGGAAGTTTACACTGTTCTCAGGACAAGACAGATAACAAAACGTAAAGAGTCTTTTTAACTCTCAGCTTGCCTGCAAACTGCAGACTGCAAGGAAAGATCAGGAATGTAGTCTGTGGTCATGAAGCAGGAAACAGACCGGTCCGGAATACAAGAGCACAAGTCACAGCAATCTCACGTTTGTTCCCGGCAAATGCCCCACCCCACAGCGTCTCCTTAAATCCTAATCCCCAGGAGTGGGGCGGGACGCTCTCCTCCCGAGCAAGTGAGCCCGCCTCCGTTGTTCCCTCCTCTTCTCTGCTCTCCTTGCTCTGGGATCAGGTGGGGGGGGGCTTGCTCCTCACTTGAACTCTGCCTTCCCTGTTCCAAACCTGAAGGGCTCTGGCCTGCCTCAGCCTGCTCCTCCCTACAATCCTCCGAAGCCACAGACACTCCCTCCTGGGCCTCAACAGGGAACTCCATGTCTTCCTCGGAGTCAGGCTCGGAGGGAGGCATGACAGTCTGATTATTAATAACTTCAAATTTTGCTAGTTTCCCCCCCCCTAATGTCCTAAATATGGTGCCCCTGTCCAATCTCTGTCATAGGTCTACTGAGTTCTTGAATTCAGGACTGACTCATGGCTCTATTCCACACGACTTGTTTATAGGAAACAAAATGTTCTTGTGACATAGAAAATTGTGTCTGTAAGAAATGCCTGTGTCCTTCATTAGATAAAAGTGAGTTAACTTTTGCATCCCTTGCAGCCTGAACCAATGCTGCGATTACCAGATATGCAAAAATCAACCATAAGGTGGCAATAAAAAGATACAGAACATAATTTTTTTGTAACCCAGATTTGTCAACTCAACTGCGCCATCTAGATCAGGTCTTCAACCTGTGGGCTGTGGTCCGGTACCGGGCCACATTTTGTTGGCCAGTGGGCCACAGGAATGGCTGGTGAGTGTGCTCACATATGTTCACATCCCCCACTTGTGCTAGTGGCCCCGTTTGCGCATGCGCGGGACTGCTAGCGCTTCCACCAGTGTCATGCGGTCACTAGCATCCTGTTTACACATGCGGGCGCTAGTGGCACGTTTATGGGTACTAGCGTCCTGCTTGTGTGGACATGCAGGCACCAGCACTGCCGTGGGTGCATGCGGTCCACTTGCACATGCACATGGATGCTGGTGCTACCATCGTGTGCACGACCATTTGCACATGTGTGCACGTGCACACATTTTTTCTGCTCCTCCCTTTCCCTCTGGGCTGCCAACCTGCAAAGGTTGGGGAACTCTGATCTAGAACATGGGAATAAATGCACTTTGGGTCAAAATGTAAAGTTGCTTACAAATATTTCAGCTCTATGCTCAAATTAATTTTTAATTTTTTTTGAACAGATGACCTTTATGCTGCACCATATGCTGTTTTTGAAATTTCCCTTAGTAAAATGAGAACACTCTCACCAATGAGTCATTGTTTCCAGTTATTACAATTAGTGATGTAAGTGTAGGGAAATGGATTGTGTCATCTTGTTTCTTAATTCCATGAAACTATATAGTATGCCTATTTCAGGGCATTTGTAATTATAAAAAATGAAACAAAACATACTGTACGAGACAAGGATTGTTTATATTTCCCATAGTGATAGTATCAATTTATTCTTTTTGTTTGTGTTTATTCTTTACATGGAGTAATGGGATGATATTATCTAATTCTTTCTGCTGACATACTAGTATCCAACTTCAAAACTGGTCTCAGTCAGTCTCTTTATTGGGCTTATATACTGTATTTGCACAGTCAAAAAAATTAGTTGTCAGATATTGCCTTCCTTCCTTCCTTCCTTCCTTCCTTCCTTCCTTCCTTCCTTCCTTCCTTCCTTCCTTCCTTCCTTCCTTCCTTCCTTCCTTCCTTCCTTCCTCAATTTATAAAACATATAATGTATTGATAGGTTAGCCACCTTTAGTATGGAATTTACTTGAAAAGTATTTGCTTTTAACTTGTGATTTCCCTTAATAACTGGAGAGACTGACATGCTTACTTACAAATTAGAAACCAATATCTGAATTATAAGAATAAATTAAACTTCAGCATGTTTTATTTTTTTTATTTTTCCAATACTTCTATACAACTGAAGCAGCCTGAAAATATTATTAACAAACAATGCATTTTTACATCTCCCTACTCAATAGTAAATTCCATTGAATTCATGTGTTGTAGAGGAAAGTGGGCAAAGCACTATTAGCACACTGCATGCCAAAGCCAATCACATTTTCTTGCATGAGCAAATGCCTAATATTGGACTGCACATCCAAGAAATCTTTTCACTGTTATGATCAAGTTTCAAGGTATCTTATTTTTTTTAAAAAAAATGAAATACAATTTAATAAAATACAACAGATATAACAATTTTAAATGGCTAACACAAGAAAAAAGTCATAAGCATAGCAGTAAAAAATGGTATGTGTGTGAAGACTTTAAAATTATGCTATAAGCTGAAAAATAAAGCTGACCGGATTGCTTGAAAGTATTAACTGTTGCTTTGTTGAAAAACTAAAACCAAATGTTGACAAGAAATACATTACAACAATTCATTGCTGCAAATCAAGCGTATAGTTGTTTTTGCCAATTCACTAAATGCCTGTTGATGGTTAGATATTCTCCAATTTAGTTTTGGTCCCCTCTGGGAAGTCATTTTTCAAAAACATCTTCAAAAAGTTCACATCACAAAGAATGGTTAGCGATCTGAAGCTGATAAACTTTACAGTTCTGGTGATTTGAACACTGATGCACAAGAATCTATATATCACAAGAAATTCTTTTTTCAAACACAATTGAAAGCAATCGATTTTTAGACACATTCTATTGTCTTTCCCTGTTAATTGTTACTTATATACCCATACTAGATTAATTTTTAACCGTCAAGCAATTTGACACAATGGAAATTCAAGATTTTCCATGTTGATATAATTCTGAAGAAATTGTGGCTATATTTCTCTGCCTGACTCCAAACGCCATGCTGCTATATTAATAGCTTAGTGATCTTGGAAATATCAAAAACTTTTATTGTACAGTATACTCAGGTATAAATACTATAAATAGTTTTCTAAATACATAATGTAATATTCAAACATACTTTCGTTTGGGCTCTGAAGTAGGAACTAGGTTTTACTTTTGGGAAGGCTTACTTTTTGCCGGTACCGGTACCAGTAGGCTACGAGGGTGGGGGCGGGGCCTGTAAATGGGGTGGAGAAGCAACATGGCAGTGAGAGTGTGGTGGCGGACCAGGTATGGTACAGGTACAGTTGTGAGTGGCAGAAAGAGTGCCAAGCCTGGCGCGGTGCGAGTTGGCCCAGATCCGGAGTGCCGCCTGGCCACTGGCCTGCCAGGGCCCTTTGCCAGCAGCCACCGGTGGAACCACACCGACCACGCCTCCGCCTTTGGGCTGCTTGAGTGCCAGCCTGCACACCTATTTGGTGCTGCAGGTGCCGGGTTAAGGGCTGAACCTGGTGCTCTTGGGGCCCTGGTGGGTGCTGCAACTCTTATGCCGGCTGGGAAATTTTGGCCTCTAGTGGCTGCTCCCACTGGATCACCTTCTGCCCGGCCAGCTGCTCCCATGTGGTGAAGTGAAGCAGGTGGCAGGGGGGTGGTTGCTTCCATCTGCCTGCCAGACACCTGCCGAAGCCATGCAGGGTAAGGTTGCCGTGCCCACCTCCTGCTAGATGCCTTCGCCTCCCCCAAGTGGTTTTTTTTAACCTTACTAACCTGTCTTTCAGCTGTATTGCGTTTCTCCGTTCACTTCTCAGCCTTCACCACGTGTTTGTGGGGCAACAACAACAAAAAGAAAAGTTCAATCAGACTTTCCAATTCCTTGAGATTTTGCAAATTGAAATTTCAAAGTTCTTCACACCTGTTCTATTTGCACAATTGTGACCCCTGCTGTGTTCCCACGGTTAACCATATTCATGTGATCCTGATTTCTGATGATCCCTGACTGCATCCCCCAAGCAAAATCTGGGAAAGCTGGCAGGAAGTTGAAGGTCCCAATCTGGCTGCTTACTGGATGAGGGAGGGTGTGCAAGAGGGTGTACAAGGGGATGAGGGGATGTACAAGAGGTGCAGTACAGGTTAGGGAGGGTGACTGGGGGGGCACAAGAGGTATTGTTTGGGTTGGGAAGGTTGCACAGGGTTGTGGCATGGATTGGGGAGGATATGTGGGAGTGCACA